CTGCTGCTGCATGTGCTGCAGCTGCTGCATGCGCTGCAGCAGGAGAAGGCTGCAGACGGACAGCAGCAGCAAACACCTCTGGGGTCTGCTTCTTCAGCTGCTGCTGCAGCTGCTGCTGCATGCAGCTGCTGATGACCTCGCGGCTAGCCAGCAGCGCGCAGGCTTGGGCTGTATGTACACAGCCCCGCAGCGTCAGCTGCTGCCGCAGTTTTCTGCTGCTGCGCAGCAACTCCAGCAGCTGTACACTCACCAACAAACACAAACGTATCAGGTCTGCTGCTGCTGCTGCTGCTGCTGCTGCTGCTGCTGCTGCAGGGGCCCCCTCCCCTTGAGCTGCTGCTGCTGCTGCAGGGGGTCCCTCCAACTGAGTTGCTGCTGCTGTAGGGGCCCCCATTCTTAGAGTTGCTGCTGCAGGGCCCTTCAGCCCCCATGCTGCTGCAGCAGCAGCAGCAGGGGCCCCCATTACCCCTGTTGCTGCTGCAGGGGCCCCCTCCCCTCTTGCTGCTGCTGCAGGGGGCCCCCATTTGCCTTCATTAGCAGCAGCAGAGACAGAAGAAGACAACACCCCCTCATGTGCTGCTCTAGATAGCTGCATTCTCTTGCTGCAGCTGGATGAGAGCCAGAGCTGCTGCTCTTGCTGCTGCTGCTGCTGCAGCTGCTGCTGCTGCTGGCGCTGCTGCTGCTGTTGTCGCTGCTGCTGTTGAACGCTCTGCTGCAGCAGCGCAGCAGCGAGCTGCACACCCAACGCTGCCTCCTGTGCACTGAGACCTACCGGCTCCTGCTGCTGCTGCTGCTGCAGCGGCTGCTGCTGCTGCTGCTGCTGCTGTTGCTGCTGCTGCTGCAGCTGCTGCAGTAGACGCTGCAGCGCAGCGGACCCCAACGAAGGGGAGCAGCAGCGCAGCTGCGCGAGGTCGCAGCACAGCAGCAGCAGATGACGGAGGGGAAGGGTGTTTGCTGCTGTTTGCATGCAATCAGCAGCAGCAAGCAGCTCAGCAGCTAGAAGAGGCGGCAGCGAGCCAGCAGCAGAAGTAGAAGCACTAAACGCCAGTCTCGGTGTA